CCAGACCGCGGGTGCCCAGCAAAACCCCGGGCCCCCAGCCCCGCGGCAGGGACGGCGTTACTCACATCCCAGGCAGCGCGGCGTGTCCCCTGACCGCCCCGCAGCCAGCAGCGGCTCAGCTCGCTCAGCTCCAGGATGGGCTGCACCTTCAGTTGCACCGTCTCCCCCGACTGCCGGATCATCTCCACGATCTCATCCCGGGATTTGTTCTCCACATTTCGCCCGTTGATCTCCACCAGCCGGTCACCCGGCACCAACCCCAACGCCAAGTCTTTGGTGCCGGCTCCGGGCTCAGCGAAGTGCACGACACGCCGGTAAACCTGCCCGTCGGGCGCCCGGTCCAGCATGGTGGTGCGTCGCAGGGAGAAGCCGAAATCACCCGTGTTGCGCCTCTGCAGCTCCAGCTGCCGCGGGGGGGGGGGCTGAGGGGGCAGCCAGCCGCAGCTCGGCTGGGAACCTCTTGCTGACTAGCTCTGGCACCCTGGTACGCAGGGAGGTGGTGGGAGGGGTGCAGGGGTGTCCTGGGGGGGGGACTCCTTGCTTGGTGAGCTGGGTATCCAGCATGCGCACCTCCACCTGTGGGGAGGGGGCTGCCGAGTGCTCGGAGGGGGTAGATGTCTCCGAGGTGCTCTCATCCCGGCTCTTCTGGGAGAAGGAGAAGCGTTTGACAATCATCTGGGAGTTCTGCTTGGCCAATGAGCCAAACTTGGCTGCCCGTTGTAGCACTGAGCCCTTGAAGTTGCCATCATCCACCTTGAGGTCGTCACTGGAGCTGGCCGTGCTCAGGTGGCCTGAGTCCAAGATGATGCTGCCCCGGTTGCTGTCAGAGTCAATGTCTGTGAGATGCAGGTCGGAGCCACTGGCCACCTTGATGGGGATGGGGTTGGAGATCTCCAAGCGGGTCTTGGAGTCCCGCTTGGAAGCACGGTTGAGATTGAAGAAGCCCCGGCGCATGCTCATCTCCTCCAAGCTCTTGAGCTCAGCTGCCGACATCCGCTCCTTCTTCTCCTTCTTTTCCTTCTTCTCCTTTCGGGCCCCATCCTTCTCTTTGTCCTTCTTCATCAAGTTGAACATGGTGGAGCACTTGCCCCCACGGCAGGGCGCTGGGGCAGGGCGCTGGTCACAGCACTGCTGCCTGCCTGCAGAAGGACAAGGGTGCCATCAGACAGTAACATGACCAACACCCATCTCACCGCCCCTTGCTCCACCCCAGTGGTCACCCCAGCTGCCACCCCCAGCCTCAGCATTCCCACCCTCCCCATGGAAGAACATGGGGCTCTGAGATTGCCCCGGGTCATCATGTCCTTGCCCTGGCTGGCCACCAAGCCCCAGAAATGCAACAAGGCTGGCTCTGCACCCCCAGGGATGCCCTGGAAGAAGCCCAGAAGCCTGACAGCCCCATGCAGCCCCATGCCAGTGCTGGGTCTGACTGCAGGCCAGACCCCCAGCATCTCCCCCAG